CAGGGCAGCAAGTGGCCTCTTTGACAGGTGTTTACATCTTTCGGGGTGGTGACAATTCTTTTCTGCAGCTGTGCTGCTGCGCATGTGCACCAGAAGCTCTGCGAAGCCTTGCCCCATCCCTGTTCAATGAGTTTGGCCGGCCGCTTGATGTGTTGAAGCAGCACTGTGGTGTTCGGGCGCGCACCGCCGGCTTCCTATGGCTCTCTTCATTACAGGCTCCTAATCTGGAGTCCGCCGTGAAGAAGGAATTCACTCAGAAGGTCTTCACTTGTCTTGGTGGAGCCATGAAGCGGCTAAGCCTCGTGGTGTGTCCGTTTCAAGAAGACCTCGCAGAGTTTGGCTTCCAGTTTGCCTCTGTAGCAGGAACTCAACTTTGTCTCTGGGAAAAGCACCTTGGCTGCATGCTTGCATCCGCATACGTCGTTTACTCGAGTGAATTCATGATGCTCAGCAACCGTCCCTTCCAAAGGAGCAGAGATGGCATGCCGAATGCAGCACCAGATTCCGTGCCCTCGGTCTCCTCGCTGTCGACACCGGCTGCAGAAAGTGCAGATATGGAGAATGCAGCGCCACCAGAGGTGCAAGCGGAAATAACAGCTAGACCAGGTGCATGACATTCAGAGTACATCCTTGAAACTTTCCAGGCACAAAGTTGCGTGTATCTTCCTTTCCCGGTCACAAACAGACGTTTTCAATGGAATCTTTAAACGAGGGCTCCATAAATCTGACACTGTCTGACGTATGTTCTGTTGCGAAATCACTCATGGGTGCCCGCAGAACAAAGTATACGGGACAGCGAATGAACCCGCAACCGACACGTGTTACCGGCAAGTCTAGGACGCAAGATTCTTCCAAGAAAGCCAGTCCCACAACCTGATAAAACCTTAAGTTGGGGAATGGAAAAGCCAGGAATCTAGAATTGTGGAAAGTTTTATACCTACAAATCTTGACCCTGGAAATTTAGATTATTTGTGAAATTTCTCTCTGAATGTATGCCCGCCCACCTGCTCCATGCCATGACAGGCTTGCCAAGTTTCATTTTTTTTCACGACGACAGTCTTTCAACAAATCGTACTAATGTGCTCACATGTCTCTAAAGTGCCTTTGACCTTGACTGTAACAGTACATGGCATATTGTTTAGGACTACTGGATGGGTGCTCTTGGAAAAGGCCATAGCGCAAAAACAACAAAACATGTTTCGTATTTATGGGACTTATGACTAACTAACCATGGCTTTCCGCGAAACTGCAAACCAGCTTAGCTTTGGGGTCTGAACAGCAGTCGTTTCTGGCAAAATGGCAGCTCGTTAAACATTGTTAAACTAATCAAGACGCACGGTCATTGTCGCATACGATGCAATGAAACAGTTTCTGAGTTAGCTCGTACCAATTGCACCATGCTTGGTATTTGGGACCTCCCGCCTCCTCCGGTACTCACCCTGGCACCAGTGGCATCATGCTGTGTGGTGTCAGGTCTCCCTACTCCTTTTCTAGGAGCCTCTTGATCTGAATCCGGCAAAGCAGAACCCTGCAGCATTTACCAGCACTTGTCATTAATGTTTTTAAAGCGTTTTGCCCGCAGACTGCGAAGGATTCTAAACTGAGCACCCTCGATTCCTGAACGAAGAAAATGTTGAACCATGAACGAATACGTTCGCATGTGCCGATACCTTGTCAAGTGAAACAGAGAGGCTGCTGATCAACGCTTTTCTCGCACCACCATTGCAGCGCGAGCCTCTTAAGAATGGGGGTCTGACAAAGCAGCGTAGCTTACTGCGTCAACACATATGCGCACTATGCCATGTTTCAAAAAAGCCTATTGTCTCAAACAGTTGCATTGAAGCTTCAGGCCGCCAAGGCGTTGTCAGCCACAGAGGTAGAATTGTAGAATTGCCTGAGCCGAACTGCTTCGGCAAAGCTGATGTTCCACCCTGCCAGGCAACTATCGAGCACAGCGCGATAGCGACGGATGCGACGGATGCGACGGATGCGACGGCAACTGGCACCGCCTCAGTGCAGCAAAAGGAAGCTGGGGAGACTCAGGAGGCAGGTCAAGGACCAGGTCCACAGAGGCTGGTCAGAACCAACTTTCGCAGCCGGTGGAGAGCATCCAGACTTTTGAATACTCCAAGCACAGTCACGTCTGAAGGCTTTGATGGTGGAGACCTCACAGACAGGAGTGGGAGCAATGGAAAGGAGGTGCCCAAAGGCAATAGTAAGCGCCTCAAGCCCGATTCCGCCAACGCAGAGCCTGACGCTACTGCGAAGTCGGGAAGCAACATCAAGGCTGACTTGAACGGTGATGTTGAAAAAGCTAAGAACTTGAAAGAGGACCTCAAAGTTGAGAGCAAAGGCCTCGTCAGAAGCAACAGCAAAAGCTGCGTCGACAACAGCGACGTGCATGTCAAAGGTACAGACAGCCATGCAGTCTCTGGCCTGCAAAAGCGGAAGCTGGACATGGCTCCGCCACCTTTCCCTTCCAGGCGGCAGAGGTGCAGCTTACAGGTTCCGCGAAGCGTGGGAATTGAGAGTGTCGAGTTCAAAGGTTTTGCAGCGAAGCAAGGCCCAAGCTGGTGGACTCCACGAGTCCAATTGGCTTTGACTTTTGCGGCAAACTTCGGAGTCACGCTTTTGAGGCATCAGGCCGAGTGCTTTGAGAATGGTCGGCCTGGACGAGTTTTTTGGGGATCCCAACATTTGCCTCCTTGTATTCAAGAGCAGGGTGTGCATAAGTCCTTCTTGAGGGGGATGGCCGAACTTGCTCGGATCGCTGACATTATGAATCGCAATGCCGAGCCACCGTTGGCCAGCGTGGTGATGCAGGTGGTATCGCCCCTTAGTTCTTTGCGAGGGGATCTCGGCATCGAGGAACAACACAGGCACAGTCTGAGTCACTTCTTTGGGAAGGGGGGCCAGCCTGCGCACGTGCTCAGCGCGATAGTTGATGAGGCTGAAATTTTCTCTAAAGCTTGTACAAGGGAGGACCTGTCCGAAAGCACTGAGAGCGCTGGCCAGGAGCTGTCACGAAGTGATTGGGCTTCCTGCTACAGGTCGCTGCCGCAAAACGATGCCGACAGACACTTTGACTCTCTGAGGAAGAGGCTCTGTGGAGCACTTGCGGGGGAGGTGAGCTGAAAAACAACCTCCCGCAGTTCTTGCAGAGATTGATATCTAAGTTGTTGTAGGGGATGGGTAGCGGGTACCATGCCTCCTGCGACTCCACAACCAACGCACTGAGTCTTCGGGGAAGCTAGAAGAATTGCAGTGGTGAACTGGATGTTTTTCAAGTTTTGGCTGCCTCAAGGGTCCACATTGTGATTCTGAGTCGGCTTTCCGTGTTGAGGCCGAGATTCCTTTTGGTCATGCTCAAGCTTTTTGTTCTTAACGCACCGCCCATTGGCTCCCGACCCCCTGCTGTTGACCTCATTGGTGGGGTGTTCCTCGGAAAGACGGGTGCCACAGTTATCCGCGGTTGAGCTCTTTAGCCCTGTGCGGAACAAAGCACGCATGGTCTGTTGGCAGGACAGCTGTTTGCAGCAGGTGAGGCTGGTTCCTCACGCTGCCGCATCTGCTAAATGCACCCAGAGCCAAGTCAGGTCGGGCCTCCAGACGGCGGTTGACCTGGAAATGCAGCAAAACAGGAAGATCGGTGAAGACTTGCAGTTCGAGCCTCGAAGTCTTCAATTTCCTCACGAGGCACTGTTTAGCAATCGCGGAGCTTGTTTGTGTTCTTGAAGAGTGGCCCCAGTGGCACTCACGGGTTTTATCTCAGGGGTTCAGGCTTCATCTAGGCAAAGCTACCTCAACCTTTTGAGCTGCAAAACCATCTGCTGAAGGCCTTCAGCTTTGCTAATGTTGAGGTGCACATACCTGACTGCTTGGAGCGGATATCAAAACTCATCAGCATGAGGCACCAATACGTTACCAACTATAAAAACAGCATCTTGTGGCCTTACAATTGCACTTAGTCATATCTGGCATTGCCACCTATCATCATCACCATCGTGATATATCATAATCGTCGAAAGATCTCACAATCTTCCTCATTTGGCCCATCACCGTCATTGCCAAATTGTCAGCAGTGCTGTTGGTCTTCCACATGAGTGCCCGTGTCAAGACTCAGCTTATTTTTCATTTGCGCTCTGTTTCGTAATCTTGATTGGTCCCTCCGGAGTCCCTCCGTTCCGCGTGATCACGTCAGTCTCCTACTCAATCGGCAAGAAATTAGCCGTCACGCTTCTATGTCTGTTGCAGCGCCATCCGCTAGTGCGTTTGACAGCTTTCGCTTGCCATAGCGGCATGAGGAGCATGCTGCAGATGGACAACGCGAAGAGATTCGAGACTGGAATCAGCTCGACACTCAGCGTGCAAGTTTTTGTATCCTTGTATGCTGGTATGTGGAGAGCTTGAGGCCTGCTTGACAATTCTGCCTCACTGACGCGATTGGGCGATTTTCTGCCTGCAAGACTTTGGTGTGTTGTGCTGCGTGCTGGTCTGGAGAACAATGTCAGTGGCACTTGTTGACGGCTGGCGCGAAGCACTCCAGCGTCGCAACCTGGCGCAGGATGAGTGCAGGCCCCCGTCGCCTTGTCGCTTTAATGTACACATATGTACTCAGTAGCATCAACTGACTGATTGGCCGAACGAAGGAGTGGAGATTGCCATGTTGGCTCGGCATATGGAAGAGCAGCCTTGGCCCCACAGTCACAGTTTAACGTTTCTTAATGAGCTAAGATGTGTTCGCTGCAGGTCAATACGCATGCATGAGCTGCATCAGGAGGCGCAAATATTCATGCTGCATGCGGCCAACCTGAAAGCTAGTCTGGCCTTCAGCGTGCGTACATCTCAGCTCCGTGGTTCGGCTGGTCAAGCTCCATCTCGACTTTTCAGCTTCAAGAAAGGGAGACGACATGAGACATCATCAGGCTCTGGTTGCGACCACGCAGAAGCCCCAGCCCAACCCCAAGTTGTCCAAGCTCTTCACTCGCCACTGCGCAGCCATGGGAGCTTCCTCGAGCGCGCCGGCGACGGAGTTTGGAAGCAGCGCTGGAAAGCCGATCACAGCATACACCCTGAGCAATGGCTCAATGACGGTGCGCTGTGTAGCTTCCATGTATGACCTCTCACCTTATGAAAAGAAAAGCTGTTCAGGTACGTGTCCTTGACCTGGGTGCGACGATTTCTTCTGTCCAGGTCAGGTGGGCTCTGGCCGTGCCAGGAGTGCAAGCGGATACACGAAGGTGCAGCGTGCCCAGATTTGTTCAGGTCCCTGATGTGAAAGGCCAGATCAAAGAGGCGTCAGCCCAGATTGAGAGAGAAGCGGTGAGGAGCTTGCTGCAACTGCCAGGTCTGCCTCGGCTACGATGAGGGTGCAGCGTACCTGGATTGGACAAGAAATCCCTACTTTGGAGCGGTGCCTCGGTTACAGATTGATTCCTGCTGCGTTTGCTCTTGACTTCGTCAGCTTTTGCTTCCATCATGCTCCTGGAATGTCGTGCTTGCAGTTTACATCGCACGGAGAATAGACAGAAACTCACCAGGTGGCCGGGAGATGCGCAAATCGCATCGCCAAAGGCCTTGACGTTTGCACGATATCACGCAGTCCGCCTCTTCCCGTTGCACGGCCTCGTCAGGAAAGTTCAGTCTGGAGGGCAAGGAGTACGAGTTGGTGGCCAACAACGGCTGTGGCCTTAACACCCCCGCTGCATGACTTCTTTGCGAAAAGCCTGGCAGGTCCTAACCACCTTCATGGTGGAAATCAAGGTTTTGACAAGCTGATTTGGACATGTGATGTCACCATCTCAGCAGCCCGCAGCAGTTGCCTGTTGTCTATTCTAGTCCCTGCGAGCTCCTGCACCATACGTTGCACCATGAGGCGTCAGATGCCACTTCCATCACTCTTTCGCTTCTCTCACCGGACGGTGATGAAGGATATCCGGGCAATCTCCGCGTGAGGACATTGTTTCTGCGCACTAGTTTCCATGGGAGAAGCGGTTTACTGTCAGGGTTACTTATTCACTGCCGTCATCTAGCTCCTTGAAGATGGAGTATGAAGCAACAACAGATGCGTGCCTTGGCTGGCTGCCCGCGTTTGTTGATCACAGCATCTAAAGTCTTCCAGTGGTACAGTTCCACTCCATTATTCGAGGCCAACGCTTTGCAATCTGACAAACCACGCCCCTTGTTTGCAGAGTGATGTTCATTTGTCCAGATGCTATGAAACGTGCCGCAAGTTCCATGCGGGAGCTGGTTACTGGCATGAGGGAGGACATCGCGAATGGAAACGATGGCAGTCATGGTCAGGCATACTGGAACCTTGCTGATGGTGGCACTGGTGTTCAAGATGTGCAAAACCATGAGATTCTCGGAAAGCAGTTGCAAGCGGATTGAAGCAGGATTGTTTGTTTTTATGTTTGTTGGCGCCTGGCCCGTGAACAAGAAGCCTTGCCAAGAAGCACTTCTGATCAATCCCAGCTTCTCACCTGTGCAAAGTTGTTGGCACAAGATACGATGTCCACGCATTCAAGGCCTTCCTTGGTTTCCGCTAAGTGTGAAACCTTCGGAATTCGAGCGAGTATTCATTCAGTCGACTTATGGCGAGGGTCATGCTTAGGCAGCAGCACAGACGCCAGTTGCTGTGTCATTTTGCTTCTTTAGCAAGATGAATCTATTCTCAGCTTCAAACAACCTGTTTCTTATTGTTTCTTTTTGCAGACGCCGTCCGAACATGTTCGAACATGGCAGCAATAAACGTGGACAGTTTCGCATGGCTCCCAAAAGACTAGGATTGCTGGAGCTAACTGCTTGCTGTAGGATTGGCATGCCCTCCCCACTGTCTTCAGTACTAGTTCGAGGGAAGGCGCAGGTAGTATTAGTGCAGGGGTCATTTGTTGCATGTGGCCAGATTTAGATGCGCTCGTCGTATTGGCGGGCATGGCGTGCCGTGCCCACGCGTCTCCAGCGTGCACCGGGGGATGGCGTCACGCGTTCGCACGCTGTGGGCATCTGGGATTCGAACCCAAATTTGAATGTAAAGAGTATGCCGAGTGGAAAAAGCTGGTTGTTGTTTCCAGGCATTGTATAAGTTCCGTTCTTCACAAGTAGATGAATGAAGTGGAATGCAATGTCTGTGGCATGCACTTGTGGGGGCTTGGATGACATTTCACGGCCCCAGGTCCTCGCTGTAGAAAAAAGTGTTGACCTCGCGACGTGTGCATGTTTACAAAGCGCAGTTGACAGTTATCGGACGTGCTTGCACTTGCTACAGTGATGATCCCAAGCGCCCAAGACAAGGATACAAATTTTCGCAGACTTCTACACGATGCTTGTTGGCAAACATGGAATGTTGAGTTTTGGGTCAGGAGGTTTGGTACAGACGTTGCCTCCACAACCAAGGCCAGTGGACGAGACTTCCATTCCGACCGGCGAGGTCCGGAACGTTGCTGGGGCTATGGATCTGCGACAGAAGACTCGCATCGGTGCTCGGGCAAAACCACTAGTTTTGGTGCAAAAGCGGTCTTGTCGCCTTTCCGGCCCTCAGTTCAATGATTCTTGAAGCTCAGGCGCGCAGATTCGGCGCGCTGATAATGGCAGGATACTTATATCCGGAAAAGGGCACAGATTGGGCTTAGAATCTGTGCAGGGGGGCTGTTTGCAAGGCTCCCTTTGGTCCAGCTGGGCCCTGCAGTTACTTCCAATTGAAACACAAAGATTAAGCACCTATACTCGCAGTTGCCGAGGGTGTCTGCAACATTTGCCCTGCTGAGTGAAGAGCTGGGGAGAGCTTCCTAAGTCCCGGCCTTGCCGTTGCATGCTGTAGCAAAGGTCTTGGATACGACCACAATTACGTCTTGGGCCAGGCGGACAAGTCCGGCTTGCGCCCAGCAGCCCGCGCGGAGCCCTCAGATGTTCCGCCTTGACCGAAGCATAGAGTGATCAAGTCACAAAGACCAGATTGCAGTTCTGTTTGTGTTGGTCGCTTGCAGCACACTGAGTCTCCCGCTCTTCTGGTTGGGGCTCTCTTGCAGGTCTGGGAGCCTAGCAGTGGGCGCTGGATGTCCATGAAGACGAACCAGCCTGGTGTCCTTCTGGCCTGTCTTGTCTCGACAGAAGAAGCCAATCTCTTATATTGCCAAAACAGGTGCAGTTCTACACGGGAAACTATTTGAATGGCTTTGCAGGCGAGTGTGGCAATCGTGCGGGTTGGTTTGGGGCTGACGCAGGTTCTGGTATTCATGCGTTGCCTGCCTTGCAGATAGGCCGTGCCGGAAAGGGTGCGTATCACAAGCATCATGGCTTCTGCCTGGAAGCACAAAAGTTTCCGGATGCAGCTCAGACTGCAACGATGCACATGCGGAAGAATGCGCAGATCTCCTCACAGCATGTTGCCTTTAGCAAAGGCCATCAGTCGGCCACACTTTCCTTCTGTCGTGCATGGGCCTCAGTGGCAGAATCAGCAGAGAAGCTTGAGATTCTCCGCTGAACGAGGTTGCGACCAGGTGAAGTGTACCGACAAACGACTTTGTACGAGTTCGGTACAAGTGCAACTTCTCCAGAGGGTCCCATTTGAGAGGATCACTTTGCACTGCTTGGAAGCTCTCGACATTTAAGCTTACATCCGCAAGAGCCAACGCAACAGCATGACAGCACTTGCAAACAGCCACAAATTTCAACTGTTTGTCACATGTCAGATGCGCCGCCAGGGAAAGGCAGCCTTCTGACAACAGCTGGCAGTTGCAGTGTTTTGGCCTTGAGTGCCAGTGCTTGTGCTTGTCTTGTTGTATGCGTGCTTTCAGCGGACTCCAATCGCTTTGAGTGCTGAGGGAAAACGTACTCGTGAAAGTGCAACATCCGATTAAGCATGGCTTGCAATTGCGTTGTGGACGAACCTATCTTGCTTGGTCACATGTTGGGCAGGTCGGACCTATGCAGCACGAAGTGACGGGTCTGCGCCACTTACTCTGCTTTTCAGTCAGGGGTGCTTGTGGGCGCTCAAGGGTTATTTTAAACAAGTATCGCTCTCAAGCATGGTTCCATCCTGTTATTGAGCCTAAGTGCACGGAAGGTGTGCTTTGCAGCAACGCAATTCTGCGGCGGCTGCGATCTTGGCGCCTTGGCATTTGCCGCGAGGCAGCGATCCAAACATGTGCATGCGCTGCAAAGCCCAGTCCTTCAGCTGGCATCTGCGCGTTTGGAACCCTGACATCTGCGCGTTTGAAACCCTGGCCACAGGCTTCCAAACACACAATGTAATCGCTGTCTTACGCTCTTCTAACCACTTGCAGGTGATCATGATATGGTCTGTCAGCATGCGAAAGGAGACACGCCTGCAACCCAGTCAGTAGCAGTCAGTGCAGAAGTCACGTTTGTGTTGGTCAGCTTTCAAGGCTTGTGGCGGGCATGTGCGGTTGATGTTCACGTTCCACACATTGCAAGGAGACAACAAGCGTAAGGCAGGGAGGGAGGAGCATGCGGACCCTTGCACATCGTTATAGATATTTCATCGTCCATCCTTGTCCCTTAATTTCGAGAGCTTGGTGGAACACGTGAGCTCTTGTTGCCGTTTATTTGGTCTTGTCATGTCTTGTCTTGGTGTTGCCCTTCGACTTTCAAAACTCCGGCTTGCTTGGAAGCATGTAGGAACGTTCAGTAGCAGCCCATGTTCCAATTCCATTGACAGGCAGATGCGTTGCTGAGACAGGCGCGCCACTCAGTAAGCACTTCGTGTTCTGAAGCGCGGGTAGAGAAGGAGCAAAAAGAGCAGATAGACATGTGGACATGTACTGTGCAAGGTCAAAGACATATCTCTTCCAATCTCCTCCTCCATCAATGCCTTCATCACTCTAGGCACAAAAGGTTGGGACCTTTGAAAGGACTGTGCGCTGCAAGATTGTCAAGCCACGGCTGCGCTGAGATGCAGAACGGCTGAAGCACTTTGTTCTGGAGGCTGCCGCGAAATGGCATTGGGCAATTTCTTCGCTTGAGTCCCTAAACGGACATGACAGGCATGGCTCAAGGTCGCTGAGGATCAACGGCACTCCGCCAACTTGAAGGAGCACGTTCCAAGCCGCAGCTGTCCAAGTCTGTCTGTACAAGTAAGGGAAAGCTGATCCATCTACGTGTCAATATCAGTCACATTTGGCAGGAGCTGGAGGAGGGAATGCAACTTGCAGCAGACTCAGAGACAATCCAAGACAGCACAGCAGCGTGTAGCAAGTCTGGAGCTTTCGGGAGTTCTTGACTTCCAACTATTGGTGCCTGGGTTTCCGGACATATTTTTGGACCATCCAAATTTGAACTTACAACGACAGAATGCTTTCAACCTGGACTTGTTGTCAAGTTCTTCATGCAGTCAGGTTTTAGTTTTCATGTTTCAGCTGCTTTGTCAATTGAGAAATCTGGAAAGGACTGCAATAGACGGGGCAAGACTACTTCCAAAAGTCACCGGCAAGGATAACATGAATCATGAACTTGGGGTTCAGTAACGGGTCAGCTTAAAAAGGAATCACAATGGAACAGTGCCTGCCAGTAGGCGAGCATCATCGCCACAATTCGGGCTCTATCTTGGGTTCACAAGGACATGAAGCAAAAGTTAAAAGGAGAGGAAATTACAGTCAAAGCCAAGTTTGGACGCGAACTTCTCATGCTCCTGGAAATGGTCAGATTTCAGACAAAAAGAAGCGAAAATCGGTTAGGGTGCCAGTCAGGCAGGCCAGTGCCAGAAATCCCAAATAAAGCTTAAATGGAAGCAGATACCAACCCCTTTTAGGCTAAAATGAACGAATACAGAACCCAACCCCTTTCAGGATTTGGAATTCGAATTGAATAGAAACAAATACAAACCAAGACGTCAATCAGCACACTCACGAACAAGCAGCTGTACATTTGTTCATACCTTGAGCTTTGTCCTTTCATGAGCTTCAAGGCTTGAAACAAAAAGCAAAGCATTGTCTTACAAGCAGGGATGTATTGCTGGGCACTGTGCTAAAAGGAGTCAGCGGACAAGTAATCATGATTTAATGATTTTCTTCATTTTAAAGGTTCGGAAATGAGTGCATATGAATGAACAGAACGTGAATGATAACTGAGGGCTTCCTGCATTTTCTTGTTTGTAATAGCAATAGCCTTTAGAAGGTTGTGCATCTGGGAATCTGAATGCACAGCTTCCTAAATCACCTGATTTTGCGCTCAGTCGTTGAACGGAAATGATAGAGCTAATCCCCCGGAATCAGGACCTACTGGATTTCCTACTTAAAAAAATGATTTTGCTATAACGAGCCAATAGGCTGCCATGTAAGTCTCTCAATAAATCTCCCCCCAAGACAGCATGTTGTTTCGGACCGGATGCATTTACTTTTCACGGAAGCGATTAAATTTGCGGAGCAAGTACTCTATGGTCAAGTCTCCACCGTCCACAGTGCTCGGAAGTATGAGTAGGGTCTTGCCTCCGAGGCCGAATCAAGGCTTACGGAGGAGAGCCGGATTCCTGACATCGCGTAGAAAGCTGTTGTGGTTGCAGCTTGGAGTCAGAATCCAGGCGCACGTGCTCGTCACCGTGCGTCGAAGACAGTTCTGGCTTTCGCCTGAGATGCCTCGTCGCAGAGCCGGAAACATGAGTGCTGCCAACGCCAGGCTTGGATCACACAGCAAGATGCGCTGTGCGGAAGCATGCAAGCAGAAGACCTCCGGCCAAACACTGAGTTTCAGCGTCGATGGCAATCTGCCCTTAGCATCTTTTCCATGCCAGGGCAATGCTTCGCGGGTGGGCTTTAGCCTTTGGCTCAGGGACACATGCGGTTTCATTCATGCTGCTTTGCAGCTTCTTATATGCTTCTGCAAAGTCTCTGCAGGGCAGCTTTGACCATCTGTTGGCATCTATTGACCATCTAGTGCGAAGTTTGACAGAACTAGCCTTCATCTGAACTGAAAAAAAATTGCCGACCATCTCAGAATGCCCCCGAACAAGTGCTGGCATTCATGGTTTGCGGACTTCCTGTGACAGGCATGACAGGCCCATCTCTTGCCATTTCCCAAGCTACCAAGATCTAATGGCCTAAGTGTGGCCCTGCGAATCTGCACAGCAGCTAATCATTGTTTTTTGGCACTTGCATGCATTTGCAAGCATTGCAGCACGGATGGGAGGGCTGAGCCCAGTGCCATTGTCGGCATCATCATCCTCTGCTTTGCGCAAGCATCTGTTGCGGCCAAGGCAGTGGCAGAGACATCGCGCGAATCCCCAGACGCTTTCACAGCTCAAAGACTTTGCAAGCATGACGCAGCTGCCTACAACTTTTCAGATTGCACTTGCACAAGGCTGGCAGGAAGGCTTGTCGCGAGATTTCAAAAATAGGTCCTTTGCGTGGCAGCCATTTTAGGCAGGGCACAAGTTGCATACGCGCATCATCACGCATGTTTGCTGCCATGATCAATCCCTGGCTGTGGCGCGAGTCGCTTGGAACAAGTTGATCCCTGCATGGTACAGACAAACACTGACATGACAGCTTAATTGACGTGTTGGCTTGCCTCCGCCTTGCGGTGTTGAAGGCACAGATAACAGAGACGTCTGATGTGGCGAAAATGGACAGAGCCATGCCGAAGATTCTCGTCGCATGTGAGTGGGAAATCAGGCAGCTTCCCTGCAATTGTTTGCTGCTGAACTTAAGTGATCAAAAGTCTTGCCTACACTAGTGGAGGCAAGGTTCACAGATGTAAAGGAAGGGTTAACATTTTGCAAATGTAGTTTTTTTAGCTTTTTCATAGATGTTGCTTGGCAGTTGCATCGTGGGCGCCGCGCATTCGACTGCGCGGCTTGCCATTCTCAGCCACAGAGGAATCTTTGACGGAATTTGGCAAGTCCTGGAGTTTATTTGGCCAACACATGGGCGACAAAGGCAGACATCTGCACATTTCTGCAAGGCTTCGAGCTTGCAGAGGCTTCCCTGCAGATGCAGAGTGATGTGGCAACTGCCGTCCTGGCCCGTGGTCAGGCCAGCGAGGGCCCTCGCGTGCAGATCATCAGGCTGGGTGGAGGGATTGGATACCAGAGCTCCAAGCTGCTGTTTGCAAAGGTTAGGAATGGGTAAAGCAGACTTACCTCAGGCCTGCGCAGCAAACCCCAAACCTAAAAGACGGTGCCCTGGGGCTCCGGCATGGCCGAGGCAAAGCAGGTCTGCCCTCCGAATACCGCAAAAATCATCAGTCCACAAATTCCTGGATGGGCCGTGGCCAAGTTCGGCAGTGGCAGATTTCAATCAACGCCAGGAGGTGCAGCGACAACTTGCCTACCGGCCACGCGTTCGTTTACTTCAAGGATTGGCAGGACGCAAGCGCATGGAACAGCAATAGTTCGTACCACTTCCAGAATCTCAGGAAGCATGCCGCGTGCGTCGAGAAAAGCAAAGGGCTTATCTCGGCCCTGTGCTCAGCTCACGAGAGTCTTGCAGATTTTCACTTAGGTCTGGTTGAGCTGAGGCAATCGCTGGATTGAGGTGTACGTAGACTGGTCCCCAGATTGGTATTGCCGCGCCGCGTGAAGCACCAGCAAACTGCTGGCCGCTGCTGCCACCTGCCACATCTTCATGCTCAACTGCAACTACCTGGACACGAGAGGGGACATGCAGAGCTTCAACGATTTCCTGCAGCGCCTGTGCTTCTCCAAATCACCGATTAGACAGTGCTGCGGAGATGGCAAAAATGACCTAAGCGTGATGCTATCTCTCTCTCTCTCTGACTCTGAGCGGAAAATCTACGTTGTGAGGCGAAGAAAAATGATGCACTTCAGAAAGATGCAAGCTGAGGAGGAGATCATGAATCTCTGTGCACCTTGGACAGACAGACGTGGGCACTGTAGGCATTCTGCCAGTTCTGTGCTCAATCTCTGTCTGTCTTTCAAAGTTTCGGTCTAGGTGAAGACCGGTGAGTGGCTTGATCTCCTCTTGCTATGCAAAGTCCTGCAATACTGGCAGCTGGGCGTGCTTTCCCAGTAATCCATGGCTCGGTTTGCTGCAAAATCCTCAGTGCTAATTAGAAAGTCTAGCATTCATTAGCTCGTCAGAGCCAGGGCCTCGACCCGACTACACTCTGAGCTCGAGGCCGTGCAGCACCGCCTGGCAGAGAACTTGGTAGCTCTCAAACGCGCAGGGCTTGTCGTTCATGCCGGCTGAAGGTCTGGGATGCCAGAGGTCTGCGGCGGGCTGCTGGGGTCGCGGACTCAGCTTTCCTGAAATTGTAACTCTTGGAACCTGTATTCCTCTCAAGCACCCCAGCGAGATCCAGTCCATGCTGGACGAATCCTTGCATGCTTTCTCCTCCTCCCGGGCCCGGATCTGAGACGGCCGTGTTTCATACTTTGCCTGTGAAAAACCTTGGGAAGTTCTCGCTGTTTATACGAGTGCGGGCTTGGTGCTGTTGATGTGTAGAGATGTCTTGCCCCACGCGCCAGTCGTGTTTGGTCTTTACATGTCTTTACGGAAGAGGCTGAGCCAAGGTATGCTTTGGGGCGTGGGCACGAACTGCAGCACTTCTTACAGCGCAGAAGGTTGGGGAGTCAGCCCGGGGCTTAGTTCTGCGACTTACGACATCCCGGCATGGCTTCAGCCGCCTCATGTGCAGGCGCAACAACATGCTAGGGACCAGCACGCGTTGTCCCTCAAACAGCTCTCCTTGGAAAAGGCAAACGGCTGAGATGCTTTGGGCACGGGAATTTGGAAATGTATGGCCCACAGGCGAAGTTGGCAGATGCTGTGCTTCTCGATTGCAAGCCGAGCTCCACATTCTTGCGCTCATCCAGACCCGCCCAATACATTCCCAACGCAGCGTGTAACTTCTTCGACGCAGATTCGCCGTCCCGACTCCGGCATCAGGTCGTTCTCGATGTCTTTTACCTGTGGAGCGGCAGACGCTGCAGATCCCAATTCAGCCGCGCGGCTTCTGGCCGGGATCGCAGAACGTGGCATTTCTGGATCACATCGAGATCCCTTTTCACATTCCTCAACTGACCGTACCTCAAGGTAAGACGCTGCTTTCCATGGCAGATAGCTCAGCCTTCAAGTAGCCTTCATGTGATCTGAATGGGTGCAATGGAGGTGGCGACGTCAAGCTGCCTACACGCCGGGAAGCCCAGCTCGCTGCAAACTGCCGCAAGCAGCATGTGATCGGCACAGGGCCGCAAGACAGCGTCTCCTACGACGAGAGGCATCCAATTTGAAGCTTCAGGAGGCGCCGCGAAGCACGCGAGCACCCCCGACCTGGCACATGCCGCAAGCTTTGCAGGATGTGCGTCGACACGGTGAAGTGCATCAATTGCGCTGGGCGTCTTGGGCTGCCTCGTGCTTACATCCTGGCGCATTAGGCCTGCTCCCGCTCCCAGTGCTCCTTCCGCCGCATTGAGGCCAACTCAAAGCTTTGCAGAGAAAGCTGGCGAATTCTGCGTGAGGCGTTCCTCATCAAAAGCACATGCTTGCTCTCTCCTGGCAGATGTTGCAGGCTTTCCAGGCTTGGGGCTAGGACCCAAGCAGCATAATCTAATCAGCTTTGTGCAGCTGGGAACAATAAATTCGCATACATCATGTGTAAGTTTTCTGGCTCCGAGCTGAACAGAATTGTCGAGATCTTGGGACGTGCCCTTTTCGTGCTAAGGCCGGACGCTAGTCGAAAGGCCAGCAGGACACGATGCAAAAGCACTTGACGCAGCAGAGCTGGCTAGGAGCCAAGCAGCCTGCTCTCCCTTGACTCGTTCACTTGCTTTCGGCCTGACCCATCATGACCCCAAACGAAAGAACAAGTTGAGCGGCAAGAACACAAAAACTTCATTCCTGACAAGGTGCTCTCAAGACTCACACCTTTGGCCTCCAGGGTGGTCTTTGTTGTGGCTGTCTCAGTTGCTTGACGTTCTGAGCTTGATTGAATGATTGCCTGGTGCCACGGAGGCCTGGCGGCGACTGTCCCAGGAGGAGAAGGCAGACTGCAACGTAATTTGCCGTCGTGGTGAAGCTCCCCTGAAGTAGTGTCAGCTGCAGACGGAGGCTCGCAGCATGTACTAGATATTAGTCGCATCATCGAGGTGATGAGCCTCGAGGCTGATGCGCGAAGACTGGAGGTCGAGAGAGATGTGGAATCCCGTGGCATGAAAAGTTTAAGAAATTCAGCAAGTGTTCACAAGGCCTGGAGTCAAAGGGGTTCGTCCGTCTGAGAAGGCGAAACTCGCGAGGGCAGCTTGTGAGGATGCCGCGGATGCCTTGTCGCTGCGGGAGACCTGGAGCTGCTCTTGGCCGATAGCTCTTTGCCTTAGGCGGATGCAATGCGAGGCAGCAGCTGGAGAAACGCTTGGCATTCCAAGATCATGCTGGGCAGCAGGTGTGCTTCGACTTCGAGGCTTTCGTGCAGCATGATTGCTGAGCACAGCTCCCACCTAGAAACATGTTTTGCAAGGCATTGCAGACACAGCGCTTCGAACAGCGCTTGCGTGCACCTGATGCATGTTGACGTTGTTAACGATGCATTTCCAGATTTGCATGTGGGTACTGTAGTTGTCAAGATCAGGAGCCTGTCAAACCTATAGCGTACAGGATGTAGAGCGGAATATGGATGTTTCCTGAACCTTGTCGACCTCATGCATCTTGTCAAAGTGCATGCACGCCGTGAGAACGCCATGCTTCATGGAACCAAGGCAGCTTCACTTTCGGTATGGATTCATCTCAGACCAAGTGCCCCTTAAATGTAGGACCAACACGAGTGCACTGGTTTCATGAGTTGAGGGGGTATTCACGTAAGCTCCCTGGAGGGAGCTTCGTTTAGGATCTTGGGGGGTCTTGGAGGGACCTTGGAGGCTGTTTTTTCAGACGGCTTTCAGCAGGAGCGTTGCAGTTCTTTTCATGGGCCATGAGGGCTGGGCTGCGTGCTCTTCTGGTTGTATACCTTCCAAGTGTTAATGAGTAGTACCCAAGATATTATTCATGGGAAAAGAAAATAGTAAATTAAATGGAAACCAGGCATATAGGGGTTTATAGGGTTTAAATCGAATTTGGAGTACCTTTGTGGGGGTCCCCATAATGAGGATTGTAGTATTTTGGGGTTACATTGGGGTCCCCTATTTAGGGAACCTACCGCATATTTGATGATTTTAAACCCTGCAAGGCCCTAGGCACACCCTAGGCGCCTGATACCCTGGGAATTACGGTGCTTCAGCCTAGGAAGGTCACTGTCTCCTCATGTCACTTCGCGTCCTGTGTCACCAGTCCTGACCACTATTGAGCTTTCGTCCCAGCCCGTGGCTCTCAAGTTTGTACGACGTTTGCTTTCGTGAAACTTGGTTTAACAGCACACTCACATCAAAGCAGGCATTTGCTTAGCATCTTCACTGCATCAGTCGGAGCCGTGTATTGGATGTGGAGTCTTATGAAGGGATCGTGGGCGGGATAAGCGTGTTGGCTAAGCTTGAGCAAGCAATATGTTAACCACAATGGCGCCATGATCTCTGTTGTAATCATGTGTCCAATCCCGCGGCGCAACGTGGGAATAATACACCTCTGGATTGCATTTGGACAGGTACGTGAGAAGAGTTTCTCATCCAACGTGATGCTGAATTCACTGCACGTCTGTGGATGTCGTGGACCAACATGGAGCTGTGTGTCAGTGTGCCTGGGCAAAAATGATATGAATGGCATGAAGAAGATTCCGAGTGAGTGCATGGATTCAGTCAAGCCAGCGATTGCATTGAACCCCACGCCAGAGTATTGTGCCTTGACATGTCGCAAAGTGCATAGTGAAGGTTTTGCTGGAACAACGATGGGAGAATATGGGAGGAGCAAAGAACGACTACACAACGATTAGGTCAAGGTCCAAAAATAGGATAAGTGATGCAAGGAACACGCAATGATGCCAGCATGTCGAGTCAAACACAAGAGAATGTTTGTTTTGAACGACCTCCTGTTAACTTCATTGTATGATGACACATTGAAGTGCATTTCGTTTTGTGGAAACCGAAAAATGGTTCCTGAAACGCAATTCATGGCTTTCGGCATCTGAGATGCTGTGAGCGTGCAGCTGCTTGAGCAGCGCCAGGGTCTGGATTGTCATGCATGAGGAACCTGTGCTGGCCCGAGCATCCCGAGCGGGTTGCATTCCATCCCTTACCTACCGAGCTAGATGCAGGTAAAATGGGACAAAAAGGAATCGCAGCCCCAGGCGGCAGGACTGGCTGCAGGCGGTTGCTGCGTGGTGCAGCGCACATCAGTAACATTCAGCAACAAAATAACCACGCTGTTCTGAGGTCGGGCACATTGGGATGCATGGTAGACTGCCGAGCGGTGTGCCCAACAAAACCACGCCTCAGCAACATCATTTAGGTTCCACTACTCATTCTTGGGTGTTGCCGGCACGGACGCCACATTGAGGGTCATCGCCAAGGGCCTCCTCTGGCACGGCGCCGGAGCCGTGGTTGACGCGACGAGTGTCAACCCTGTCAGGCGTGACGAGCCGGCAGCGCATCCAGCCTCGCCCCTGACCAGGCCCTCGACCGTAAGCACCGGACGTACCCCGTGCTTCAGCGGGCCTGACGCTGCAAGCTCGTCGTGTTCGGTGTCGAGCTGGGAAGACGCATCAGCCGCAGCACGCTAATCTTGGTCCATCTTCTCGGGCGGGCGAACGCGCCAGCGGGCGCCCTGGGCATGGTGAGCAGAGATCAAAATCCTCTAGTGGGGAGCCCTTTAGCGAGTGGCGGTATTGAGCTTGCCGTAAGCAAACGTGTGGGTTGCGTAAGCTACCGTAAGCAAAATCGT